CCGCACAGAGCCGGCTTCCGTTTCTCATTTCTCGTCTTCTTTTTTTTTTTTTTTTCTTATTTACTCTCCATTGTCTCCTATTATGGGCACTTATTTTCACTTTCAAGCTCTCATCGTCGTTCCACGACCTTTTTCCGCCTCCTTTAGTTTGTTCCCGCCTGGACTTGCCGGTGCCCGGCGTGGCGGCAGGCTGTCGCTTGCAAGGGGATTTCCTTCGGCGACTTTGTCGGCCTTTTCACCCCTGCCTAAAATCACCCTTTAGGTCGTTTTTCCAGTGTCTCCCATTCTTTTTTTTTTCCACTTGGTCGGGTTTCAATCTCAGTTTTACAACACACCCTCTGCAGCCCGAGACGTATAGCTTGTTCCCGCGAGCTCCGCACGTATATTTTCCCAGGGATACGGCTTTTCCGGCGTTATTTGGCAGCACGGGGCTGGCGGGATGCGGGGGCAGCCGGGGGCTGTGCCTGGATGCGCGGGGGAGAGGGGCAGCGCCGGGGGGCTCCCGGTGCCACATTCGGCACCTTCATACCCAGCACGGGAGGGCGCAGGAGCTGAGCACTACAAAGGCACCTGGAACGGCATTTTGAGGCTGTGTTTACTTATATACTTAACGTTTGTTTATAGAGCTTATCTTTTTTTCCCGGTGTGCGCCCTGGGCGGACACGCAAAGGGTGACCCCGTACCCCAGGAGCCGCTTTGGGGTTGGCGTGAGGGGAGGAGGGCGATGCTGAGATCTGGGCTGAGGCGGGATGAGCATAAGAGGAATAGCGTTAAAGCGAAGACGGCAGAAAAACCCTCTTCCCAAAGGGCTTAGCTCGTCCCGGCACAAACCGAGATGAATGTGGACGTTTCCAGCCCGCTGTGCTCAGCTGACAGGCAGCGGGGCAGGGGTGGGCAGCGAGGGCGTGCGAGGGTTTTGTTGTCCGCAGCCTGCCGGGAGGCCTGGGAATCCCCACGCAGCCCTGGCCCGGGTCGGGCAGGCTCTCACGGGGACGTTTCCCGGCCCCGCAGAGGCGAGTGCCATCCGCTGGCACTGCCAGGGCAGAGGGGCTAATGCCTCTGCCGCGTCTGCCGCACCGCTCGGGGCACCGTAGGTGCTCCGGGAGCACTTTACTACCAAAATGCTTCTGGTGAAGAAGATCATATTCTCTTTTTTTAAAAAAAAAAAAAAAATTACTTATGTGCTGCTGCAGGTTTGGGCTGGTATATTTCTTTTTTTATTATTTATTTATTTTTGGTTTTTTTTGTTTTTTTTTTTTTAACAAGCAGCTCTGCCAGCATCCCAGAGGCAGATCCTGACATGCCAACTGTGAGGGCGGCATCTGGCATTTTCCCTTCCCGAAATCCCTGGCAGCATGCGGAGCTGCCCGTGGCGTTTCCCTCTGGCAGAGGAAAGCGGGTGATGCCCTCGGGGTTAGCAAAGGGGAAACGGGAGCGACACAGGCAGTGCCTTCCTGCCCTGTGCTCAGCATCTGGGTTCCCATATGGCACCAGCCGGGAAACTGGTGGTGGTGCCAACCTGCGTGCCAGTGTGCCTGGGTGGGAGCACAGCCTGCTGTCCCCCGGAAGCCTGGACCCCGTCCCTGCTGCCTCCGGTGTGTGAGCCGGCAGCTCTTGTGCCCAGGTGGGCAGGTTGGGGTGTCCAAACACTGGGAGTGTGCGGAGGTGGGGTAATCGCCTCCAGGGAGGGGATTGTGCCCCTCTGCTGCGCTCTGCTCTGGGGAGACCCCCCTGCAGTGCTGCCTCCAGCTCGGGGGGTCCCACCAGCAGAAGGAGACGGAGCTGTTGGAGCGGGGCCAGAGGAGGGCACAGAGATGCTGTGAGGGCTGGAGCCCCTCTGCTGGGAGGACAGGCTGGGAGAGTTGGGGGGGTTCAGCCTGGAGAAGAGAAGGCGA